CTATATCTGTATATTTGTATGCTTTGCAAACAAAGCATTGCATTAAGGGGGCGTGAAAGTCGTGATAAAGTTTGTTCTACTCTAGATTATTAAGAACTTACGTGGCGTTTCATATCTGCTGGTCCTCATCATATGGGCTGACTTTGGGAGGTGACAGTAAAAAGGTTTAAGGGGCATCCTAGTAGGCATGTATAATCGTTCTCATATAAATTTTGGGAATTTTCTACTATTTTAACTCGCATAGAAACTTGTCTAAATTCTCGACTATTGCGTCCTTTGTCGGATAACATTGACGAGATAGTCCCACTTACCCCTGGATATTTTCTTGTAAGTGCATCCCTTCTTTCTCCACCTAAACTCCTTCTTGAGGAGTCCCCATTAAGTTTAAATAATCGGTTCCGAAAATTGTTTTTCTCCCGAAGTTATCTTCTCAAATTACGACGATGTCATGATATCGGATCTAGAGGTAGAAAATAATGTCCACCAATCAGATAATCCCAGTGCCAATAGTAGGGTGCTTGCTTCCACATCCGGTCAGACCGTTGATGCTGATAGAGAATTGATGCTGAACCTAAGCCTACCACATCAGCATCGAACCGCTTAGTCTCAGGCATCAACTATATAAATGTACTGTTTTCAGAAACGTGTCGTTAGAGAATCGTTTGCGTGCTTTAGCTTATAATCGTTACTGCTATAATTGTTTGCGTTAGATCACATGTCCAAAAATTGTCCAGTCCAACTATCGCATAGACATTGCACCGACCGCCACCAGTCCCTTTTGCACAAAACTCGTGGACCCCGGCCAAAGAAAAATTCGATTGCGGTTCGGAATTCTCCAACATCAGTTGTGCCTAGAGGTATATTCCCACCACCACCCCTCATGTTCTACCGACATCAGGACTGGTTATGGGTCGAGTGTTGTCCCTCTTCCCAACTGTATTGGTTCGTCTTAGTCTGCCACGTTCAAGCATTCCTATAAGAGCGAGGCTTTATGTCTGTTGTCAAGTAAGCCAAGTTTTTGCGCCACTTGGTCTGGAGTACGCTGATTTACTTATAATATCGCGGCTTTATTCTGTTGAGAGGCATCATGTAACTGCTAGTGTTGCGAAAATAACGCATGGTGTGACTCCGTCAGTTTCGATTTGTTTCGTTGGCCTCAAACTCCCGGAACCTACGTTCGACAAAGCTGGACCCTAGCAATTGTTCTTGTTCCAGAAATTTATTCTAAAATTATTTCACCTCGAGTGATTGCACAACCCGGTCGACCTACGACCCAATATACTACCTTTGGATGGGTTCTTTCGTGTCCCGTCTCTCTCACTCTCTCTCTCTCTCTAAACAACATATTGTATTATTACATAGAATTAAATTGAATATGTATCAAAATGAATTAAATGCTCGCATGAACCTGAAATTACGATCCTTTCTATTCTCTAATGTATTTCAAAATTTTAATTGTTGAAATATCATTGAATAAAATCTGCCTTTGTTAATGCATTGAAATGTATCAAGGTAGGCGGCAATGTATAAGTTGGCCTTCAACTCCACGAGTCCAGTCAATCATGGATGCTGATTGACAATTCCCTTGTCGGAGACTGTAGAGCGCAGATGCCTCCTGGAGGTGGTAGTTGTTGATAAGCTCGCTTTGATATTTACGAGACTCTGCTCTCATTGGAGCTCATTCGGCGCTAGAGTAAACCTGCATATTCAATGCTCTTCCACCAAAGAAAGAATCCATTACGTACCACAAATACCAATTTTTATACGAATCCATATTACAATGTAGGGCCTACGAAGAGGTATTACAAACGAAATGACAAATTTACTATACCCTATTAATGAATGTAATGGCCTAATAAATACAAATAAGAAGAAATAAAATAATCTTAGGCGGAAAATCGAGCAGACACAAAATAAAATTGTTAGATGCAATATTTATGTTTCCATGACAAATAATACATCTTTTTTTTCTATTTTATAGCAAAAACTCTTTTATATAAAAACAACACAAAAAATATTCCAAGTGCAGTTCTAAAATGTACATGAAGCCAAAGAAAAAACAAGTAAAAAAGCAGTAAGTTCGGCCGGACCGAACTTTGAATACTCTCCACCATTTGGAATTTGGGAAGTTAAAAAAAAAAATCTTAAAAAATTATGTTACAATATCAAAAATACCGAAGATAGTAGTTATATTGGGGTGCATACGACGTGGACCTACATAGGCATTGTTTGTAAGCCATTACCATATTCAAATTCGAAACTTGAAATAAACGGTTAATAATGTTGCTAAAATCATTAAAATATCGTATATAGGGAGGTACCACTATATCGAAGCTGTGTGAAGACCTGGCCCAGCATTGACAATTTTCTGTCACAGGCTGGTGCATTAATTACGAACTTAAAATACAACATCTCAAAAAATTTCGGTGAGTATTGTACCTAAAATGGTCAAAATACCGAATATAGGGGGTACTGATGTATGGGGCCTATACGAAGACCTGGACCTGCATAGACAATTTTCTGTCACAGACTGTAGTTCGCATTACGAACTTTAAATACGTAATTTGAAACAATTCTGGTGAATAATGACGCTAAACTCATCAAAAAACCGAATATAGGGGGGTACTGCTATATGGGGCCTATACGAAGACCTGGACCTGCATAGACAATTTTCTGTCACAGACTGTAGTTCGCATTACAAACTTTAAATACAAAATTTGAAACAGTTCCGGTTAATAATTTCGCTAAAATCATCAAAATATCTAATATAGGGAGGTACCGCTATATGGGGGCTATACGAAGACGTGGACCTGCACATACAATTTTCTGTTTTAGGATGTAGTATCCATTACAAACTTCAAATACAAAATTTGAAACAGTTACGGTTAATAACGTCGCTAAAATCATTAAAATACCGAGTATCGCGAGGTACCGTTATATGGGGGAAAACGTGGACCTACAGGGTCCATTTACGAACTTAACCTGCCTACTGGAAAAATAAACATGTGTGTAAAGTTTTAGCTTTCTATATCAATTCGTTCGAAAGATAGAGTATAGCAAGGGCATATATACTTTGTTAGGTCTGACATGAATATTCCGTGGAGTTACGAACGGAATGACAATGTTAATATACCCTCCATAGTATGGTGGAAGGTATAAAAATCACTCTTCAGCATCACATTGAAAGTCGGGCAAGCAATATTTTGCAGTAAACATACGATTATTTTTTGTTTTTTGGTATTTGTTTTACATATATTTGTTCTTTGTTATATTATCAGTCATTCAGTGAAGTTTATTAGAGTATTTTAGAAAATGCCTCGTAATATTAGACATCCCACCATAGAAGAACGGAAGATAGTTCTTAACCAGCATTTGGAAGGAAAATCTGAACGTGAAATATCGAAACTAATTAATATAAGCAAATCAACGGTCCATGATATTATTCCCAGATATAAAGAAAATGGCTAATATCAATGTACTACATAAACCGCTATCAAAGAAACTATCTTATAAAGATGAGAGTATGATTTTAAGAGGAGTGAAGAAATATCCATTATATCTTCACCAAAATTAAATTCAATGGCCAAAGAAGCTTCTGGAACAGACTTTAGCCCAAAAACAATAAAAAGGCTTCTCCGAAAAAAATGACTTTTATGGCTGAGCTGCACGAAAAAGCTCCTCATTAGCAAGAAACCCCCAAATGACCGTCTTGCTTTTGCCCGCCAATGTATGTCTAAGAATTTTGATTTTCGGAAGACTGTAAGTGTTGACAAAAATAAAAAAATTATATTTCTTAAATAGTTTTTTACGTATGTTCCACTGATGAAAGTAAATTTAAGTTATTTTGATGTGATGGAAGGGGCAAAGTATGGCGCACACCAAACAAAGAACTAGAAGCAAAAAACTTAAGTATAGTATGCAGTAAAGCATGGTTGTTTCAGGAGTTGGAAACTAATATCTGGGTATTGAAGATAATTTTCATTTTTATTAGGTTTCCGACCCAAAGCATTCAGCAATTAATGTTAAGAATTGGTTGCCTTATAATTTCCCGGAAGTAATAAAAACTCATGTACAGAGTCCTGATCTAGATGCCACAGAACATTTATGGGACGAATAAAGACGCAGAATGCAGGAGAGGCTTTGTGTTTCATAAGAAGCTTTGAAATCGGCTCTGCAGCAAAAGTGGAAAAAAATTAGTCCTGATGTTTGCAAAAAACTCGTCGCATCAATGCTTAGCCGACTACACGCTTGTGAAAATCTAAATCAAAATACTAATTTGTAGTTTCGTCTTTATATTCATGTTTTTTAATGTGGTGCCCGACTTTCATTGCGGGAGTGAAAAGTGCCCTTATCTTACTTTAACCTTTATGTACAAATTATAAGAGATCTTAAATCTTTTATGTTGTTTGTAAATAAAAGTATTTTAGTGGTAAAATAAAAATAAAATATATATGGAGTGCTCTATCGATAGCCACTTGTGGTTTTCCAGCCAAATATAAAGAAAATTATTTTGTACGCTTGTAAACAATATAACGAGCTGTGAGTGGAATAATTTTAACACCTGTCGGTGTGATATATATATATATATATATATATATATATATATATATATATATATATATATATATATATATATATATATATATATATATGTATATATATATATATATATATATATATATATATATATATATATATATATATATATATATATATATATATATATATATTCCATTTAACAGTAGGTCTAGCATTTGTAGGTAGTCGTTAATACAAGTATACTTCGAATAAAACTTCCAATAGGGTTCTACGAAAGAAATATATTTGTGATGACTTCAGAGCGAAAATGATACTTAACAATTATAAACATAATTGTACCATTGGATTGCAAATTCATTTTGTATTGACAATTCCAATTTGAAATTATGAGTTTACTCTACATGCGTAATGAAGGAGCGGAATTAAGATATTACAAATAAACAAAACTAAATAGAAACGATATAAATTTGAATAAATTAAAAGAGGTATAGCCTTTTTTAATGTTTTATTAGGACCATCTACGCGAGTGTAATTACAAAAAGGAAATCATGACACAAATATATATTCAGTATTTCATCTTCCGGCTAGCGCGCGAAATACATTATACATGCTTGGTACTACATTTTCAATTGGCTCCAAGGATTTTACTTTAACTGGGATCAGATAAACTGTGGGAAATGAAAACAAACGTGACGTGTTTGTTGAGCTAGAGGTCATGGTTACTTGTGTACTTCATTCATAATAATGAAAAATGCCATTCATTTCGCAATTACAAAATTACACCTTCGATTCACTTAAGAAAATATAACACAAGGTATGACAAGGTATCATCATAGCATTTTGCAAATTTCATTAATGTGGTTCTCGCCATGACACAGTAAATCTGAAACAAAAATTGAATGACGAACAAAACGCGGTTCTAAATTTATAATGAAATGTGGAAATTCGAAATGTGGAAATTAAAAAAAAAAAACGTTGTATTTGTTGAACTCATTTTGTATGTGCATCCAAGTTTCAAATTCGTTCATTTTTACTACGTTTATAACTCAGGAACGGCAACACTGATTTTGACAATTCGCAAAAATTTGGCAGAAAATGATAGAACATACAAATAAAACATGTGAGTAAAACGATTTTGGTAATAGTTTGTAAAATGTTCCCCCTATTTGGTGCCATTCATTTATATTCATATATTTACCATACTGAATATATGGAGGGTATTTTAAGTTGGTAATTCCGTTTGTAACACCTCGAAATATACATTTTAGACCCCACAAAGTATATATAATCTTGATCGGACTTTTGGTATTGAAAATGGGTCATGTAGGTCCACGTTTTAGTATAGCCCCCACATAATGCTACCCCCTATTCTCGGTATTTTGGTGCCAAAATTTAAACATTTCCGGTCAATAACGTCGCTTAAATCACCAATATACCATTATATAGGGGCTATACCAAAACGTTGACCTACATGACCCACTTTCAATAACAAAAATAATGCAGACAAAATACACATTTGAGTAAAATTTTATCAACCTACTTAATTTCGTTCGAACGCTAGAGTGACTTCCACAAACGGACGGACATCGCTAAATCGACATAGAATTTAATGCTGATCGAGAATATATATACTTGGTGGGGTCTAAAATGTATACTTCGAGATGTTACAAACTTAATATGCTCTACATACTGTGGTGGAGGGTATAAGAAAATATTATTTTACAGATTTGTTCGAATTGGTCACCTTTGGCACAAATTATGAATGAAAGGAAATCGTTACACGCTGCCCGAATATTGCTCTGCTGAATTTTGGTCCATTTCCGGCGAAGCGCATGCTTGAGGTGATCGACACTGTGATATTTTGTAATGCCAACCTTGCTTTTCAAAATACTCCAGACACGATAGTCCAACGGATTGGTATCCGAGGAATCTCTTTTTTTAACCATTCTTGGGTGGCGCGTGCTGAGTGAATGTTCCAAAATGTTTGCGTGCCCAAGGCTTTAATACACCGTCCAGAATATTTTCGCGATAATATTCGGCTCTTATTCTGATGCCACGTTCGATAAATACGAGCGCAGAGCGACCATTGACTGTTATGGCGGCCCACACTATCCCGTGGGTGTTGCTTGGATTCTGGTGGCCAACTGAAGGTGCACATTTTCCGCTGACCTCTTTGCAAGTAAACACGATCATTTTGTTTGTTCAAAAACTGCTGGACAACGAATGTTTTCTCATCGGAGTAAACCAAATTCGGCAGTTCACCCCTTTCAACCACGCGAAGCAACTCTTTAGCTCTTTTGAGTCTTTTCTTTCTCTGTTGTGTTGTAAGTTCTTGCACTTTTTGGAATTTTATGGCTTACCCCAAGGTCATTTATCAATATTTGCCGAATGGAATATTGTGATATGTTCAGCTCACTATCCATTTTTTGGCCACTGCGACGCGGGTTTCGAACGATTTCGCTTATTTACTTTTCCGAACATTTCTGCTAATGTGCTTTAACGATAGCCACTTGTGGTTTCCCAACCAAATATAAAGAAATCACTCTATCACGCTTGAGTTCCATCTCGAATAACTTTTTTTCTGAAATATTCTCACCAAAATGCTTTTGTACGCTTGTAAACAACATAATGAATAATATTAACAGTCGTTGGACGAGTGGCTTAGAAATGACAGCCTGATTCTGATTTTGTCTGATTTTGTTTGCAGTTTTTATACCCTCCACCATAGTATGAAGGGTATATTAAGTTTGTCATTCCGTTTGTAACAAATCGAAATATACATTTTAGACCCCACAAAGTATATATATTCTTGATCAGCATGAAATTCTATGTCGATTTATTAATGTCCGTCCGTCTGTCGGTCTATCCGTCTGTGAAAATCACTCTAGAAAGGAAGTAGGTTCATAAAATTTTACTCAAATGTGTATTATGTCTGCAGGACTTTTGGTATTGAAAATGGGTCATGTAGGTCCACGTCTTCGTATAGCCCCTATATAACAGTACCTCCCGATATGCGGTATTTTGATGATTTTAGCAACATTATTTACCGGAATTGTTTCAAGATTAATGTTTAAAGTTCGTAATAGATCCCATGGCTTAAGATACACAATGAGCCATGTAGGTCCACGTCTTTGTATAGCCCCCATATAACGGTACATCCCGATATTTGGTATTTTGATGATTTTAGCGACATTTTTTACCGCAATTATTATACCCTCTACCATACTATGGAGGGTATATTAACTTTGTCATTCCGTTTGTAACTCCTCGAAATACTCATGTCAGACCCAACAAAGTATATACATTCTTGATCAGCGTAAAATTCTAAGTCGATTTAGCGATGTCCGTCTGTCTGTCTGTGTCTTTTTTTTTTTTTTTTGACGTAATGGTAGCATGCTACCAATAGTGGTCCTACACAGGAACCAATACCCCGGGACCGCTTTCGCATTACTTCGGGGTACAGTTCATTGACTGGTCTATGCCTTCATATTTTATCTATTCCCCCATCCACATTTTCATACTATGATTAGGGGTTCGCTCGATGTCTTCTCTCGTGAAGACTTTTCGCCGTCATTATATCTTGGATATAATGAGTATATTTCATCCATTGTTCTTCTGATTCCAGCATTCCTATTACTGTTGCTTTGAAAGAGCTATTATTGTTGACACATATTCTATGTGCAAGCCGTTTACTTTCATTGTACTCACATCTGAAGACTGTGTGTTCTACGGTGTCTTCATATAGTCCACAAGCTGTACAAATTGGATTTTCTTTAATATGAAACCAATGTAAGTATGTGGCAAAATTTCCATGTCCGCTAAATATTTGGGACAGGAAGAAATTAAGTTCTCCGTGGTTTCGTTTCGTCCATGTTTCTATAAATGGGATTAATTCGAATGTATGTCTTCCTTTTGGGCAATTTTCCCAGCTTTCTTGCCATTTTTGGCTTAATATGCGTCTAGCTTCCATCTTTATTTGCTGCAGCTCTTGGCTACTATGAACGCATGACAGGCATTTCCGACGGTCGTAAACATATTTCCTCTCCTCAAATTGCTGGATTATTGGTGGTATGCCAGATAATACCGACAGTGCTGCAGTGGACCCTGTTCGGTATGCGGATGTAACTCGAAGTAGACATGCACGGTGTACTTTCTCAATCATATTAGTCAACTTTTTACTGTTCGCAATGGCATTACTAATAACAGGAGCTGCGTACGACATTTGTGCATAAGCAACCGTTATTATCAATCTTCTGACCAGTTGTCCTGGACCTTTCAATTTGGGCATTAGGCGTATTAGTTTGCTTGATGTTGATAATGCCTTTTCTGCAATTTCTTTAACATGGGTTTCAAAAGACAGTTTGGAGTCCAAAAATACTCCCAGATATTTCAAACTTTTGCTTATGGTAACCTCATGTCCGTCCACCATTAACTTCGGATTGACGAATGCACATCTCCTAGTTATTATAATTGCCTCTGTTTTGTGAGCAGCGAGTGATAATCTTTTTGATGTCAATAAGCTTTGTACCTTTCGGTAGATTCATATTTAGCAGATCGTCGTACATCAGGTTCCAGACAAATGGCCCAAGAATAGAACCTTGAGGTACGCCTGATGAGATTTTATAGCTATGGACTCCTAATATGGTATCAAACAGCAGAATTCTATCATCTAGATAACTGTCGATCATTTTCACTAGATAATGAGGAATTTGGCTAAGCGTTTGTCGTATTACGTTCTGTCTGTCTGTCTGTCTGTTGTAATCACGCTATCTTTCGAATGAATTGAGATAGATGGCTAAAATTTTGCACATATGTTTATTTTTCCAGTAGGCAGGTTAAGTTCGTAAATGGGCCATGTAGGTACACGTTTTCATATAGCTCCCATATAACGGTAACCCCCCTATATTCGGTATTTTGATGATTTTAGCGACGTTATTCACCGGAATTGTTTCAAATTTGTTATTTGAAGTTCCAAATGGATACTACACCCTAAGATAGAAAATTGTCTGTGCAAGTCTATGTCTTCGTATAGCTCCCATATAACGGTACCTCCCGATATTCGGTATTTTGATGATTTTATTCACGGGAATTGTTTCAAATCTGGTATTTGAAGTTCCAAATGGATACTACACCCTAAGAAAGAAAATTGTCTTTGCAGGTCCACGTCTTCGTATAGCCCCAATATAACGGTACCTCCCTATATTCGGTATTTTGATGATTTTAGCGACGTTATTCACCGGAATTGTTTCAAATTTTGTATTTGAAGTTCCAAAGGGATACTACACCCTAAGATAGAAAATTGTCTGTGCAAGTCTATGTCTTCGTATAGCCCCCATATAACGGTACCTCCCGATATTCGGTATTTTGATGATTTTAGCGACATTATTCACGGGAATTGTTTCAAATCTGGTATTTGAAGTTCCAAATGGATACTACACCCTAAGACAGAAAATTGTCTTTGCAGGTCCACGTCTTCGTATAGCCCCAATATAACGGTACCTCCCTATATTCGGTATTTTGATGATTTTAGCGACATTATTCACTGGAATTGTTTCAAATTTGGTATTTGAAGTTCCAAATGGATACTACACCCTAAGACTGAAAATTGTCTGTGCAGGTCCACGTCTTCGTATAGCCCCCATACAACGCACCTCGCTATGTTCGGTATTTTGATGATTTTAGCAACATTATTCATTGCTTCAAAATTGGTATTTGAAGTTCGTTATGGGAACTACAGTCTGTGACAGAAAATTGTCTATGCTGGTCCAGGTCTTCGCACAGCTGCGATATAACGGCACCTCCTTCCATACGATATTTTGATGATTTTAGCTACATTATTCACCGTTTATTTCAAGTTTCGAATTTGAATATGGTAATGGCTTATGACAAACAATGCCTATGTATGTCCACGTCGTAAAGACCCCAATATAACGTTTATATTCGGTATTTTTAAAATTTTAACAGAATTTTTTAAGGATTTTATTTTTTAAAAATTTCCAAATTCGTTGCAAATGGTGGAGGGTATTAAAAGTTCGGCCCGGCCGAACTTACTGCTTTTTAACTTGTTGAGATTTTACAAGTCCCTTTCAATTGGTGGAGGCTGTTAAAATTTCGGCCCGG